GCTACATTATTTGTAATTTCCTCTTCATGTCTTCGTAAAATATATTTTCATGCACATAGCATACTTTATTGCCCTTATGGTAGAGCATCTATTAAATAAATTGCGTATGTAACAAATATTAAAAAATAAAATCTTCAAAATGGGCTCTTCAGAGATTTCCTATTGAAAATTTTTTTAATATTATTCTGTGTATTTGTACATATTAAGAGGACAAAACTATGTTAAGAAAAAAACCAAAGGAAGCAAGAAAAAGTAAATAAACAAAAAAAAAATAAACAGAAACAAAATGGCCGCACTCATATTCTAATAAATACGAATAAAGGGAGGACAAACACAAGGAAATTATTCATTGTTTTCATTTTTTTTTTTGATTACTTTTAATATTTTTGTGCGTGAATTCTCTCACTTTACTTAATATGAAAACATTAAATGTAAACTTTTGGTGTTGTATTGTATGACTTTTCTCTCTTATTTCATTCTTATTTATTTTCATTTAAATCACACTCATTTTCTTCATTTTCTAGTGACCTCTTGAAATGTTCCTTTTCTTTTCTTGCTCTTCTGTATTTTATTTATTTTCTTTTGTTTTTGTTATTGTTGTTATCATTACCTTAGGTAATGAGAAAATATTTGAGTACGACATTTATGGTACGATGTATTTATACATAAAATAACAACAACAAAAATGAAAACAACAAGGAAATTATAATATTGAAAGATTGTTATTTAGATTTAAGATTCGTGTGGTAGTAAGAGGGCTATTTGGAAGCGTTTTATTTGTAATCAACATTGTACAAGACAAAATAAAAAGAAAAACAAAACTTAAAAAGAACAAAGAAGGTAAAAAATGATTTTTTAATGCCTAAAGCAGATTTTTTCTACAGCACAAAACAATATAAAAACATTATTGTCATTGTTCGTTGCGAATTATCAATTAGTGTGCTGCTATGGCAGCTGAAAATAAAGAGTGTTTAGAACGAAATATTTTACAACAGAGCGGATGAAAATAAGAATTAATAGAAAAATTTGTCTTTTTTCGTGAAATGTTGAACAATGTTTAGATAGTCCCAATTGATAAAATCGAAAGCATTTCCAATCAGATTTCTTTGAAAATTTCAAAGAGCTATTCTCTCTGTACCATACAAAATAACTGAGTTTGAAATTGGTAAAGTTTCAAATGAAAATTGTTTAAAATTTTGGTTTTTACCAGATTCCTTAAAATTTTATGTATTATGCGTTTTACCCCTCCTTGCACATAATGAATATAATATTTTTATTATAGACTATAATTTTCAGTAGAATAATGAAATATTTCTAACTTTTGCTAATTCTCTTTTTTTTTTTAAAAAGAGAAAACAATAGGCGATTTATAAAAAATGGGCAAACTTATAGGGACTTTAATCGGCGTCGTTAAAAAATTATGCCATAACAGTAAAATATGTTAAAAAGAATTACAATAGTATTCCAGGGTTAATCAGTTGGCATATACACAAAAAGCAATATTCAAGTTTCAATTCGAAACTAATAATAAAATAATATGGGTAGGAAATTCAATTATAATATAGGTAGGTAATTCAAATTACATTATCAAATATTGAGTATACATAATATTATATCAATGAAAAAAACAAAAAATTAAATTTTATAATATTGTGAAAAAATCAGAACTGAAATTCTATATAATAACAATGGTGTGCATTTAGAATTTTTCGTACTAAATTTTTATTATTAAAAATGGACTATTGTTCTCAGTTATCGGAAAATTAATTGAAATGAGAAAAATTTTATTAGAAATTTTCATTTAAAAATTTATTTTTCTTTTGTTTGTCATACAAAACTTTACTAATAAAAGATTTTTCATTATTTTTTTGAAAAATTTTCAAGGAAATTAAAGATTTTAATGTGTCCTCATTATAATAGAAATGAATTTGTTTACGTATATATGCTATATCGTCTTGAAATATTTTAATCACGTAATTTTATGTAATATGGTGTAAATTATTATTACAGTGCACAATAATTATTCTGATTCAAAATGTTTAACGCAAATATATTTCAACGTTACAAGGTAAGGCACCCAATAGTAGGTATTGTCTGTTGTTTCAAAGTTCTCTCTAATTTAATTCATATTTTACAGAAATTTACTTGCCATTTTCACAAAAATCACAAAAATAAATTCTAAAAATAGAATTGAAATGTTTTAATTTAAAAATTCGAAGTTAATATTCGTAGAATATACTTGATATAAAACAAGGATTTATGAAGAATTTATTGTCTTTCATAGTTGATGCTTTTAAAAATCGGTGCTCAATTACTGATTTTAAAATATTCAAGAAATATTTTAAAATAGAATAGTACAAATGATTTCTGTTATACGTCAGATCTTCCATCTGACTTACCTATATTAAACATTCTAATGTTATATATTTATCATGAAAATCATAAATGTCTGTAATTTTTGTAATACCTAAAAATTAAACTGTCTTTAGCTTCGAACAGATTATTACAAAATATCTAAGAACAATTCTAACGGTACGATTACGTTGCCGTTAATTACGTTAATTTAATGAAACAATCGATTGGAATTTTTTGTGGGGCTCAATGAGGTTGGAAATCATGTCTAAAAATATCAAGAGCCACATTTTTTTTAAAAACTAAATCTTAAATTAGTTTGGTTGAAACAGTAGTCTTCGTCTTTTTTCAACTCTTTTGACAGGACAATGAATCGCAAATATTATTTCGCAGCTGATTTATAGTTAAATATAAATTTTTTACATAACAGTTTAATTATCAAAAGAATTCAAGAAATAAATCTAAGTTTCTTAGTTTTCTATAAAATTTGTCTAAAACCTCAAAATAAAATCGTAAAAAAAACAAAAAATTCTCATTACCATAAAATTATGATGAAAATTAATATTAAAAATTTTTTTTCTTATGTATTGTATATACGCATACAAACCAACATAATTTTTAAATTTTTTATTAATGTAAAGTTTCTATTGTTATCATTACTACAGTTCCAAACATTTTGGCCGAAATTACTAAAAAACAAAAGCCGGGGTAAAATATAGCAGGAATCATGTTGAATAATTTCTCAGCAAGTGATCACAGCATTTCAAATACCTAAATAAAATTTATTGATTATGACTTCTAAAACGGAATCCCATAGTTTTTAATTTATTATATTAAAAATGTTTTTAACATACAATGGCTGTTCTGAATCATAAAAAATTAGTTGTGTTGACAAAAGTTGAACAAGAAGTTTTTTTCTTTTGATAAAATTTTAAAGAAATTTCTTAAAATTTCAAGTTCTAAGAGAATTTGCCATGAAAGACTTTAAGTTCATACTGTTAATTCTAATATTGTTTGACATTTAGTTTCGGATTCGTAACATTACTTTTCTTTATAAAGGGCAAAAACAATTTCTTTCTTCTTTTAATTTTTTGGATGAAAAAAAAATGGAAACAAAAATTGAAACAATTTATTCTAACAACCAACTCGGACACCACTCAGAAAACAAGGGGCAAAATAAATTAATTTTTGTTTAAAATCTTTTTTTCTAAGGGTCCGTTCGTATCACTTATAATTTTATATCCTTCCTTTATAATCCCAAACTTTTTTTTTAATTTTTTTCATTTTGCTTTTTACTCATTACATCAATAAACAATAAAGCATAATGGTGAAAAAAGTCGTCTGGCAAGTAGAAAACATTTTATTCCCTATGTTGAACACAATGTACAACATGATGAAAGATTAAATATTAACAATCCTCTCAATATTAGGATACTTTTGAAAGGTTTGTTAGAATTTATTGATTTATATTTTATACTTTTACTTATACACTGCTCAATTTAACGTTGGATAATAGTCTTTTTTGACAATGTCAAATTTGAACGACATTAAAATAGATAAATAACGTTGTTCTCACAATTGCTAGTGTCAGCGGCACTTTTAATTGATGCTAAAATTTACGAAGTTTAGTGGTTTTATTAAGATTTGTATAAGTACTTTTTTAGAAACACATTCTGGTTTACGTATGTAAAATACTTTCTCTACGAACTAGGCAAACTAGGTGAAATTACATAGGTTTATATTGTAAAAATGCCCTTTCTTCCCAAACTTTGTTTGAATTACGGTTTTTTCTTCGCTTTTAGAAGATCTACTCACTGAGGCCCGAATTTTCTATTTCTTAGTTCTAACATTGAGATTGAATCATTTTGATTGGAAAATCACATAAGTTACACAAATTGAAAAATATTCTCCCGAAGAAAAAATACTTATAGTCTAAATAGGTAAAGGAAAAGAAAATTTTTGATAAGACAAGCAAAAAAATAGTGAAAGGAAAATGGAAATGGCGTAAAGTTTTGTACAATTTAGAATTGCTGATAAAATAAAATTTAATAAAAAAGTTTTTTTCCACAATATTTCGTTTTTATTTTTTGTTTTGCATTTTCTTTTCATAGAAATTTCCCGATGTTCCATGCGTTCCTTACTACTTTACTAATTTTTGTCTGATTCTATTTTTTTGCTATGGTTTTGTTTGCTTGGGTTCTCAGGATTGCGGGGAAGTTTTTTTTTTATTTCTTGTTTTTGTGGAATTAGTAAAAATTTTCGAATATCTTTTTGTTGGATTTTCAGGCAAGAGTTTTTTTCTTTTTAGTTTAAGAAGAAAAAAAAACTCTATTTCTGTGAAGTTCATGCAAAATTAAAATAATAATAAGAAAGTTGGACGTTGTAGAAATTAAATTTGCTATTATTTGAGGGTTATTGTACGATATTTGTATTTGGTTTGAGTGAGAGCCGTGTGCTGTTATTCAAAATCTTATTTTTTAAAAATATATTTAATACGTTATGCAATATAAATTAATAATTTCTTAATTACTCTCGATTATTAAATTATTAGGGCTTCTTTTGAATTACGTATTGAGAGGTGAGAGTATGTTATTTAAAACCTATCAAAAAATTCTAAAGAGAAATATATTGTATAAATGATTACTTACCTAAAATCATCACTTGCATAACATTGTCCCAGAAAATGACATTTTAATGCATTGCACTGATATGATTTAACTTGATCCACTTCATACGTTATATTAAAACCATAAACATCTAAGAATCTATTTAAAGCTCTTAAATGAGTACCATCTAATGATCTCATCTCGAAACGAATTTCTAAATATTGACTTTGAAATTGTATCCATGTTACTTGCGTTACATCATCTTCTGTTAACTCAAATATTCTATGACTTGGTACCTTGTAATCTTCACTATAATACATATATTCAGTAAATTTTAGCCCACCTAACACGTACAATTGATTCAAATAAACAACAATTGAAATATTTGTTGCTGTTGTTGCAAATTCTGATGCATCAATAATCCAAACACAAACTATTGGTGTTTCAAATTTATTAGGGAAATTTGGTGTTTGTACGATACCGTGACGTGCATTTAAAATACCACCACAACTTTTATGTGTATCGGCTAAACCGCCACCACTGCTAGAGCTACCGCTACCACCACCTTTATTGCCACCAAAGAAATTAAATGCAGATATGGCTGGAAATGGTGGAATTTTTGGCAAATTAGTTAAGCTACTAATACCACCGGCGCCAGCATTATCAATATCAATTATACTTGAATCTGGTATATGGAAATTATTATGATAATAATATTTATTATTTTCATTATTAATGCCACCAGAATTTGAATTACTGCTGCCACCGGTATTATAATATTCAATTTTAGTGGCTTGCCTTTGAGCTTGTGGTTGTGGTAAATGTTGTGATATTTTGTTATGAATGTTATTAAAACCGTGATTTATTTGTGAATAAGTATATTTTTGAGAATATTGTGGGCTATAACGACCATGATTATGTTGTTGCTGTTGTTGTTGGTATTGATGATATTGCTGGTGTTCTGATGGTAATTGATGTTGTTGGTATTCTTGCGGTTGACGTTGTAATTCTCGTTGTTGTTGCAGATGATGTGACTGTTTTTGTTGCTTTTGTGGCTGCTGTTGCTGTTGATTAAATTGTTTTGGTTTAATGAATTTTTGTTTCAAAATATTATTATTATCATCATCAATAATTGTAGATGTCAATGATTGAAATGGTGTTGTAAATCCATTACTTTGTAAACTATCTTGATATTTTTTTTGTTGTTCAAACTCTTGTTGTAATAATAATTGTTGTTGCATTGATGGATGTAACGGTAATAGATAGGCTGCTTCATTATTTGAATAAAATTTTAAATTATTATTTTTTTGACGTTGTTGCTGATAATGTATTCTAGTCGTTGGAGTTATTCTATTAATATATTTATCATGATCCAAATGTAATATTTGATCATGATTATGTAATTTTTTATTTAATGTGGGAGAACTTATAATATTTTCATTATTATTTTTATTATTATTGTCATAGATATTATTATGATTTTTATTGCTGTTTAAACCGTTATTATTAAGTGAAGAAATTCTATCTGGGTTCACAGAGATTTTATCGAGGCTTTTGGCCGTGAATAGAACCAGCATAAAAAGGACGTGACGTAAAAAAGTCGACATCGACTGCAGGATATTTTTTTTAAGGAAAAGTAGAAAAAAAAATAAAAAAAAATAAATTAATTTTATAATGGAGTTTCTTTTTTTTGTTTTTGTTGTAAAGGTTGCTTTTATTGTTCTTTCTTCTTGTTGTTGATTTTCCACCAGCTTAATTTTTCGGTAAACTTTTTTTTAATGTGATGATATGTCCTTTATTTTTTTTGCTTTGCCTTTTTCTGTTTGATACAAATTCTTTTTGTTTTTCGAAAGTTTTCTTTTGGTCAAAAAAAAAAACAGGGTATATTATCTCATTTTTCTTCATAAAAGCAAAAGTTATTTTCCCTGGATTTTGTGTAACATTTGTAAAATAATTTCTTGCTTTATTTTTCGGTCTTTGTTTTTAATACTAAACAGCGTTATCAACAATTTTTTTTATTACTATACTGTTGCAAACTGGTGATTTTTGATGTTGAGGTAAAAATAATTTTCGATTATATTTTAAAATAACCAGCAGGATACTAATTTTGTTTATCTTTTTTCCCATTTTTTTCTTCCTCTATTTGTGTAGTTGTTTTTGTTATATATTATTTTTGGGAAAGTATTAAGGAGAAAGTTAAAATCGGTTAATTTCCGGTTAAATTAATTTCTCCTCAAATGATAAAAATTTATCTAAGGTCCGTTTGTTTTTTTTTTCTGGTAGTTTTAGGATTTTTTTTGTTTTGTTTTTTTTTTTATGGAAAAAGGTAACTTAAACTTTCCTTTTTAATTTTTATATCCTCCTTTAAAAGGATACTGGTATTTAACTGCTTGAATATTGCAATTATTTTGAAATTTCTAATTTTAAAATTTTGTTTTCTTTTATTTTTTTGTGTTGTATTTCTTAAATAACAGTTAAATATTTACAACTTCATTTTTATTGTGTAATTTTTACTAATATTTCTAAAATGGGGAATGGAACACATGTTTTGTTTTTCATTTAATTTTATTTTTTCAACTTTCAACGTAAAATAATTTAAATAGCACTAAAAACTTTTATATTTTCAAATTAAAAACAATTGTTAATTGTAAATTAATTTTAAATATTGTTTTCTTATAAACATAAACGCTTCACTCCAGTGATTGTTAGAAAAAAAATTATCAATGTATTTAATTCGTATTTTAAGTGTTAAATTTAAGTTTGACTATTTTTATGCATGAATTAATTTCCTTTGAAATCATTCTGATATTGTTCACATATTATAAGAAATTTTTTTTATATATATTTTCTACAAAACTTCCATATATATCTAGGCTCATAGAGCAAATATCAAAATATTTTAACAAAAGTAGTGAAAAAGTGGTTTTTGTGGTAAACACACATTTGTACACATAAGATACAAAATAATACTAAAGTATAATCAAAAGAAAGAAAGTTCTAACCTCAAATGTCTACACACGTTTTATATTCACACACCAACACATATTTGATATAAAATGTAGAAAATTGCCTTTTTTTTTTAATTTTTTATTTCAATGCAGTATCCTTTTTATTTGAGTAAATTGTTGTTCTTCTTTAGTGGTTTTAATGTGGATTTTGTTTTAATTTTCTATTGTTCTTTAAAATTGAATTGAATTTAACCTGAATGATAATGTAAGTATTTTTTCTTTATTTTTTAAATTGCAAAAATTGTAATTTTCCTGCATTTAAATTTGTAATATTTAAATATTCAGTTTTGATTAGTTTTCAATTATGATTAACGATCCTTGAAAATTATTTAGAATGTTGTACTGTAACCATTTGCAAAATTTAATTTTGGGTCCATATACCAAATTTTAAAATTATTCCTCTTTGGGAGTCACTCATTAAAATTTTAACTTTTAATATTTCAAGTCTGATTAAAAAATTCTTAGGCGTAGTCTTTGTAAGTGATTGTAATTTTAAACAAAAGCACAAAATAAAATAGGTTTTGAAAAAAGGTATATATCCTTTCTATATTGTGAATTCAAAGTGTCCAAGCATAGTCGAATGCAAAACAATTTTTTGTTCTTGTTTTTTTCCTTTGTAATGAAAAACAACACAATCCTCAATTATTTTTGCATATTTTCAGGTTCTACTCCATAAAGAAAAATATTTTACATATTTTAAGGTGCTTAAGTGGAATTTTTTTTTATGTCTCTCCTGTTTTGTTCAAAATGTTATTTCACTGTCCTTTTGAATGGAACACAATATAAACTCGTTTTTTTTTGTTTTGGTTGGTTTATGAGAAATTGCAATGCATTTTGTATATATATTTGGTTGATTAGTTTTTATACTGCATTAAATTATCCTTTCTTTAGTTGACTATATTGTTGTCATTCTGACTGTACGATAGATATTGTACATTCTTCTCAGCTTAATGTCAAATTGTTGTTTTTTTTGGTTTTCCTGACTGCTGGATTATATTTAAATTCAAAACATTTCAGGTTGTTATTTTGTTAGCTTTCATTTTTGTTGTAATTTGCTTAATATAGTAACTTTAGTTATGTTAAACTCGCTTTACTTAAAAATTCTTTCTATAGTCACAAAAAAAATGTAAGCATATAGTACTGATTCCCCACTTAAATTTCTATTTAAATGGTGTATGCAATGATGTTGAATTTTTCAAAATTTTTATTCCTGAATAAAATATAGACGATTTTTGTTTAACGACCGACCTTTCGTAAATATTTTTGGTAGTTGAACAATAAAATATCATCAATTTTAAATACTGTACTAGAAATATTTGCTTTTCAGGTTATTTTTCTTTTTTATTTCTTGTTTGCTTAAAACGCTTTTTTTCAGTTTTTTTTTTAAGTACTTGATTTTTTTAACAATTTAGTGGTAGACGAATTATCTTTTATTTAAACATATAATAAGAAAAATATAAAACTCTTAGATAAATGACATGTTTTTTGATTCTTGATGAATAATTTCACATAGATGCCATTTACTTGTATTCATATGAATGATAACTTTTTATCTGCGGAAACTACAAAATGCATTTTTCTCATCTGGCAAATAGCTTTTCATTTATTTGAAATTTGATGAACTTTTTTCCTCATGGTGATAAATCTAAAAATAAGAAATAATAAGATAAAGTAATTAAGAAATAAAATGACAAATTGTTTTGAATTTAAGATTTTTAATTACTCATGCTACTATATAATTAAGAATTTTACAAATTTTAATAATTAGTATTTCATATTTTAAGAGCTTGAACCGACAAAGTTTTACAACATATTAAATCTTAGTTTCTGTTCAATATTTATATAACAACTACAATTTAGTTATGTACGAATACAAATTACTCGTAACTTCGAGGATTGAAAAAACGGGTTTCTCTTGCACCAAGAATGCTCGTTACTAATATTCGCACATAATCTGTCATATTGTCACGTCATGTATACATTATTTTTGTTATATTATTAGTGGGATATTCAGAATGTGACAGATTCGTATAGAATTGATTCATGTGTTTTTGTTGTATACGTGCGGTTATTATAATTAATTTAAAATGTTATACTTATGTATAAATGGAGAGAATTTATGAATTTTTTTACATTGAAATACTCTCAATTATTAATGTATATAAATATAAAATTTAGAATTATGTTTTGAAAAAAAAAACGTATTACTGGATTTTGATAAAGAACTTCAATATTGTCTTTTTAAAGAAGTAATTTTATCTTGAGAACCATGACTCCTAACGACTTAATTCAAAAACCGTACTCTCCGGTCCTGTAATAGAAACCAAAAAAACCACAAAAAATTGAAAAAGCTCCAAAAAAAGAACTATTTTTTTGGACCCTACTTTTTGGGCAAAGTTCAGCGGCCTTACTTTTCAATTATTTTTTTCGCAAATTAATGTTATTTATCAAAATCTAGAAATATGCTTTTTAAATCGTATCTGTCCGTAATCTTATTTTTAAAATATAAAACTTCATTATACAGAGCCTTAAATGTATTTGTTATGGTTCATCACAGAGCCTTAAATAACAGTCAATCATTGTGTTTGAAAAACCGCAGTTTTTTCATTTTTCCGAATACCTATGAATACCGCAAGGCAACTTTATTGTACATCATTACGTTGATAAATTCGATACTCGAAGTGGTAAATTTGTAAAACTTAATTGACTTCTTATGTGCTTATGCCTTGATGCAACATAAATATCAGATTGAAAAAAAAAATGGCTCCAAATTTAATTATGCCTGGATAAATTGCAGTTAAATGTAAATTTTTTGAGAAAAGTGTAAAATAAAAATTACAATAGCAAAAATTAGAAAATTTCTGTTATTGTTGAAAAATTTTATTAAATATAATTGTTGTAATTTTTTCAACAATAAATTTATTCATCAAAACAAATTTACCTGAAATATTTATTCTACTACCGACAAATTTTCTATTTCCAATTTTGAAAAGATTATACTTTGCCTCTGAGCTATGTAAAAATACTAAAATCAATATTAGAAAGTATACAATATAAATAAATAATATATAAATAAATGAAAACCATATAGACAGAAACACACAAAAAAAAACCTGAACTTATTGAGAGTTTTGGGAATATTTTCCTAAAATCAGTGAACCTTTCATATCATATAAATTTTCCTTTTCCAAAAAATAAAAATTATACGAAGTTAAATTCGTATGAATGAATGTCATCATATCTTTATATAGGTACGTATGTATATGCATGTATGTATTCAAAAAAAACTATTGCAGGAAAACATGCATATGATTGTAGCATGGCTATAAAAACAGAAAAAAAAGTTAAACATGCAAAAAAAGCCCGCGAACCATTGAAGAAATACAATTTAAATTTTCTGTATAAATGGTGGGAAAAAGATGAATTTACCATATAGGTAAAAATGTTGTATTAATAGAAAATTGTACCAAAATACATATACATGCATACATATGTTCCTGTAGACTTACACATATATTTGATTTTTAAAAAAATAAAATAAAACTTTAAAAAATATTTTTTTATAATTGTTTAGTTATTCGCTGCCACCACTTTAACATACTCGTAAATCATTTTATGACTCTGTGAATAATTGATTATGAGTTTTAATATAAAATGGAAAATAAAAACTTGTAAGTACTTGGTTTTTGATATTATATGTGTGTACATAATGTAGGTACTTGTCGTTCTTAGAAGTCTTGTATAATGTTACAGAGAATAGTATTATAAAAAATGTAACAGAAAATTTTGAACATCTTTAAAATTTCAGACATTGTGAATATGTGTATATCTACTTTATAATTACCAAAATTTCTGTTTTTTATGTTTGAATGGCGGAAGATAATTATAATATGCTCAATTTTTAAAAATAATTTAAAAATGTCAAGTAAAATTTCAGTTTGTGGTTCAAGGAATATTAATAAACAAGATTTTACCTACATACATATGTATATGGTCTTTTATAAGATGCTTAAGATGTGTGAAAAGAAGCCAACAAATTCCTAAGGCAACCACTATTACAAGATATTTTTTTACAAATATTCCAAGATAAAGTGAAATATTGTAAACATTGTACATGTAGAGAAAGGCTCAAAAAGTACCTATGCAATAGAATCAATATAAATCAATTTAATTCTGTTTTGGTTGGCATAGATAAAAAATAATGGATTTCTTATTTTCACATTCTCCAAATTTAAAAAGAAATTCATTTTATTTAAAATGTATTTTTTAAAAATATCAAAAAGCAGAAGTTTTTTTTTTTGCTAAAGAAACTTAAATATAAAATTCTAAAACAAAATATGGAGAAGCGCCTTGCTGTTGAAAATTTAATATCTGAAATTCATAATACCATAAGATAAAAGGCAAGTATATAAGTCGACTTTAAATTGTTTCCAGACCCACACATATTTTTTATTCGCATTTGTATTATGCAGTTCAAGAGACTTATATATATATACATAAACATTATTAGATATGTAAAACAAAATGTTGATGTAGTTTTTCCAATGATGACGACTTTCAAATTTTTGACGTTGCCTTTTCAAAAACACAATTTTGCTTTGCTTTTTATTACTATATACTTCTCATTAAAAATTTTTGGTGTTTAGTTCGTTACACTAATAGGTGGTATTAATTTTACTTTTTAAAATTCTAACTTACTTCATATTCCTCCAATATAACTCTATCACAAAATTATTTCTTGTTCTTACAATTTCGTTACAAAGATTTCATTCGCCCAGTGATTCGCCCAGAGACGTTGAGAATTTTATTAAGATGAAATAAAAAATTTATGCAATGAGGGAAGATTTATTTTAATGATATTAAAGGTGGCTATATTTATTTTGAAAATAGTTTGAAAATTTTAATTTTCGCAATACGTAATTTTTCTTTTGGAAAAATAATTAGAAACGCAATGTTACTTTTTGGTGTAAATGAAAAGAAATGATAATGCAAAAACGTTACAATTCTTGCCATAGTAATATTTTTGTAATTATTTACTGGACAATTCCAGAATAATTATAATCGATTTTTTTTTTTTATAGTAATTTTCACAATGAAAGTAGATCTGCTTTGAAAACACAAAACTCTGAAATTACACAATGTAGATCTGTTTCATTCATGTGCTAATTTATATTCACAATTGTATGTTATCGAATGTTAATATACGCTAGTTATGGTCGACATATACCGAATTGAACAAATATTGTTGGATAAAATATAATTTTTGTGTATAGTTTTTTTAATGAAGTTAAAGTACTAGTTTACTAGCTACAAACGTATATGTTAAAAATGTCAGTTTCTAAACTCAACTCTAACTAAACTACAGTCAGAGTTTCGCTTTGTGCAATCCGAATTCGATGAAAAGCTCAAAAGTTAGTTTCGATAACGATCAGAACTCAAATATCAAATTTCAAGAAATTCCATATACGAAACATATTCCTTAGATATGGGAAAAATGTAAAATCGGCCCCCAGTTTGGTTTCCGAGCCCCGATCATTCCAAACAATTTATATGTTAATTTTTTTAACATTCGAAATTTAAATATTAAACTTCAAGGAAGTAGAATTGAAAACTCACACATGAAATTTCATGAAAATCAGTTCAGCCGAATTGGGATACACGCATGCACGCATAGACAGACAGACCAATAGACCGAAAGACCGACAGGTTACTAAAAAGAGTCTATTTAAACTTCCCCGCTATGGGAAGAACGTTCCCGCCAAAAACTCGATATGACAAATTTATTGCTATCACAACCTTTATTATTGTATGCAATGCAGTCGGTAATTATGTGATGTTTTCGCTGAAAATGCATATAGTAAATAAAATATTTATTCATTTTATCATTTATATAATATTTTTTTATAAAAGTGCCATGGCATTTAATATTATATTAATTTAAATAAAAAGTTTACCATCGTCAATGTAAAATGTGTAAATTATGAATACATTTTAAGTTCCCATGTAAAATGAGTTTTATTATTATAAATGAATATTGTGTAGAAGAAATTTTAATATAAAAACTTTAAATTTATTCCAAAAAACAAAATTATAAAAAAAAATTCTTATCTAAATATTTTTGCATCTTAAAATAATCATCTTGAGGTACCAACCTTAAAATTGAAGAAAAAATTTGAAGCGAAAAGTCTTTGAGAAATAGATTTTCTTATGTTTTTGTAAGAAAAATTTTGAAAAACTTTGCTTATTTACGAAATTTTTTCAAGAAAAAAAGAACCACAAATAAAATCAGAAATGCTTTTTTTTCATAAATAATGCTAAAAAAGTTTTAAATGCCATACCTTGACTTAAATTCTTTCTTTTTTTCATTCTTCTAGCAAACCATCAAATATTTTTCGTATCAAACTAGTTGCATTAATTCTAATTAAAAAACAACGAATCTTAGTTATCACATCTGGAGGAAAAATTAATAGAAAAAAACTTTTTCTTTAAATTTTTGGTTGGGTGTTTATTTAAAGGAATGCAGTTTTACATAAAATTTAGAAAATAATTTCCAAACACAATGTAAATCTTGTATATCAACTAATAGTTAAACACTATTCATTTTAGCTTCTATCATGGTCTTATGATGATCTGATCCTTGTATT